GAAGGATCCAGCCCCAAAAATGAAGGATCCAGCCCCAAAAACAGAGGATCCTGGAGGTGGGTGAAGGCTCCAACCCCAAAATTGATGGGTTCAACCCCAAAATCGAGGGTTCTGACCCCCAAATCAGGGAAACCTGGCAGTTGGTGAAGGCTCCAGCCCCAAAAACGAAGGGTCCAACCCCAAAATCGAGAGATCCAGCCCCAAAAACAGAGGATCCTGGAGGTGAGTGAAGGCTCCAACCCCAAAAACGAAGGATCCAACCCCAAAAACGAAGGATCTAACCCCAAAAAATGAAAGATCCAAACCCAAAAATGAAGGATCCTGGAGATGCGCGAAGGCTCCAACCCCAAAATCGAGAGGTCCGACCCCAAAACCGTGGCGACCCCCCCCCCAAAAAAAGAGCCCAGAGCCGGTGACGGGGGTTTTGCGTTATTTTATTCATTTTTGGGGTGAAAAGGGCCGAGTTTGGGTCCGTCGCTGACGATGGAAGATGAAGGTCTTCACCCTTCCAAGGCCCGTCGTTCCGCGCGTCTCCGCAGCCGCTCCAGGACCCGCCGGGCCGTGGGTTCCAGGCTGTGCTAAAGGGGGGGAGGAGATTTTGGGGATAAAAAGGAGGTTTTTGGGCAAGAAGGAAGGGGGGGATGATGGTTTTTCGGGGCGCCACCTGCAGGACGTGGAGGCCCTTGAGGCAGACGACGGCCAACTCGCGCAGCCCGTCGGCCGTGAGGTCGGCGTAGAGCAGGGAGAGCAGGGGGCTGGGGAAACGGCGCCGCCAGAGGAGACGGAATTCCCCGGGGAGGTGGGATTTGTAACAAAGTAGCTCCTAAAATGGGGGAAAAGGGGAAAAAATTGGGTACGGGGGTCGGGAGGGGAAGAGGGAAGAGTCTTGGTCAACACAACGTCAACGCAACGTCAACACAACATCGACTCAACGTCAATTCAACATCAACGCAACATCAACTCAACATCAACCCAACGTCAATCCAACATCGACCCAACGTTGACCCAACGTCGACCCAACATCAACCCAATGTCAATCCAACATCGACCCAATGTTGACCCAACGTCAATCCAACATCAACTCAACATCAAGGCAGTGTCAACCCAAAGTCAACCAAACGTCAACCCAACGTCAACCCAATGTCGACTCAACATTGACCCAATGTCGACCCAACATCAACCCAACGTTGACCCAACGTCAACCCAACATTGACCCAACATCAACCCAACGTCGACCCAACATTAACCCAACATCAACCCAACATCAACCCAATGTCAACTCAACGTCAACCCAACGTCGACCCAATGTTGACCCAACGTTGACCCAATGTCAACCTCACATCAACCCAACATCGACCCAACGACATCAACCCGACGTCAACCCAACATCAACCCAACATCATCCCAACATCGACCCAACGTCAACCCAATGTCAACCCTACATCGACCCAACATCAACCCAATGTCAACCCAACGTCCACCGAACGTTGGCCCAACATCAACTCAGCATCAACCCAATGTCAACCCAACATTGACCCAACGTTGACCCAATGTCGACCCAACATCGACCCAACATCAACCCAACATCGACCCAATGTCAACTCAACGTCGACCCAACGTCAACCCAGTGTAAACCCAACGTCAACCCAACATTGACCCAACATCAACCCAATGTAAATTCAATGTCAACCCAACGTCGACCCAACGTCAACCCAACGTCAATCCAACGTCATCCCAACGTCAACCCAACGTCAATCCAACGTCATCCCAACGTCAACCCAACGTCAATCCAACGTCATCCCAACGTCAACCCAACGTCAATCCAACGTCATCCCAACGTCAACCCAACGTCAATCCAACGTCATCCCAACGTCAACCCAACGTCAATCCAACGTCATCCCAACGTCAACCCAACGTCAATCCAACGTCATCCCAACGTCAACCCAACGTCAATCCAACGTCATCCCAACGTCAACCCAACGTCAACCCAACGTCGACCCAACGTCAACCCAGCATCAACCCAACATCAACCCAACATCGACCCAACATCGACCCAACGTCGACCCAACATCAACCAAACGTCGACCCAACGTTGACCCAATGTCAACCCAACGTCAACCCAACGTCGACCCAATGTCAACCCAGCATCAACCCAACGTCAACCCAATGTTGACCCAATTTCAACCCAACATCAACCCAACGTCGACCCAACATCAACCTCATATCAACCCAGCATTGACCCAGCATCATCCCAACATCGACCCAACGTTGACCCAACGTCAACCCAACATCAACCCAAAGTCAACCCAACATCATCTCCACATCAACCCAACGTCAACTCAACGTCAACACAGCGTCAACTTCACATCAACCCAACGTCAACTCAACGTCGACCCAACCTCAACCCAATGTCAATCCAACCACAACCCAACATCAACTCAACATCGACCCAACATCAACTCAACATCGACCCAACATCAACCCAGCACTGACCCAACGTCAACGCAATGTCAACCCAACATCAACCCAACGTCGACCC